ATATAGTTTATAATAAACTATATTATAGTTTTATATTTTTTTTTTCTTTGAAGTTTCTTTTATCAACTTTAAAATAAGATTGTATCTTCTTTTTCATATGCAAAGAAAAACAAAGTTTCAAACAAGAAATGTACGTGTCCACGGATCATTATCACAACAATCAATTTTAATGGAAACATACAATGACATTACTAAAGTTCCACCAAAAAAAGAAACATTACAAGAAATTTTTAATGGAGAAAAAGTAAAATTTATTATTTCTGATAATTCTTCAAATCAATTAATGAGATTAATTTGTTTTGATGGAGATGTTTTGATTCCGAAGGAGATTGTTAATGAAATATTTCGATCTGAAAGGGTGTATGAAAAAAATCCATTTTTAAATGTAGAAAAGAAAGTTGTTGTTATGTTAATTCAAGCAGTATTATTTAATAGAAAATATAACTTTAATGAGATGAAAACAAGTGAAATAATTCAATTTATTTCATCATTACCATTTGTTAAAATTATAAGAGAAAAAACTTTAATTGGTTCATTAGTTAGTTGTATTGAACAAAAACAATTATATTTTGAAGAAGAAATTGAAATGCATATGGTAAAAGGATTAATAGAAATGAATGATATTGATAAAATTAAAATAGTTGCTAAGTCATTTAAAACACCAACAGCAATTAAAAAAATATATTCATTTTTATATACACTGAATCAAATTAATATTCCATCAGTTTCTAATGAACATTTATTTCTTATTGGACAAATGTCAATTGAAAAAAAAGATATGAAAATGTTTAGAGGATTTATAAAAGAACAAAATGAAAGAAAAATTTCTAGCTCAGGAATTTTTTTATGGAAAATGTGGAATATAAATGAAAGTTCAATTCAACAAGGACTTTTTGATTTATTTATTCAAACACTTCAAATATTTAAAAATGAAGAAAATGACATGTACTTTTTAATTACTATTGAAGAAGTAATTTTACATGAAGAATATTTACCTTATTTATATTCAATTATTAATCAAGTAATTCTTATATTAGATACTCGTTGTACAATAACAAATTTATATCATTGCATTAAAATTATTTCTCATTTTAGTGGTACTGAAAAGTCAAATGATTTAATTATTAAAAATCACTGGTATGAATTAATAATAAAAAGAATTACTGGAAAATTAGAATTGGCACCAATTGCTCTTCCATTATTAATTAATATTCTTTCTTCATTTCATTGTTGTCAAAATCAACAAATAGATTTAAATTCATTTTATAGTTCACGTCAAACTCATCAATTATCAAATTTACAATCTCAATCTCAATGTTTAATAAATAATTCACATATAGAAGAAGTTTTGTTATGTTATTTAACACAATCAAAAGATAACCCTTCAATGATATTATCTATTCTTCAAGCTTTTGATATGGTTTTTCATCATAAAGCAGTAGATATTTCATTTTCAAATTTCATTTTACCAGCATTAATTTCATTATGTGATGTTTTTGAAAATGAAATACTAATAATTAATCGTTCATTAAATCTGTTTTTCCAAGTTGAATTAAATCTTCAATCATCAATTAGTGAAACATTATTACTTCATTTAAAAGATATTGCAATAAAATATATAGATCAAGGAGATATTATTGAAATTATTTCTCGTATATTATTTATTTGTGTCAAACAAGATAATCATATAGCAACAAATAACAATATTATTTCATTAATTACAACAATTTTAAAAACTTATACAACTTCTCCACAAATTATTATGTCAACAATTAAAACTATTTCATTTCTATGTAGTAGAAATATGTCCAGTAATTATTTTCAACAAGAAGGTACTTCACTTGATGTTTCTATTGCATTAAAAATGGCATTAGATGATTTTGATAAATATAAAGATCAAGTGTTCTTTGAAAATTTTGTTGAAGAATGTAGTTTTATTCTTGGATTAACAGCTTCTTTATGTGAAGACATAGATACTTTAGAAAATTGGTTATCCTTAGTAAAAGATGTTAGTTCATATTTTCCTAATTCTATTAAAGCAAAAGAAAGTGGTAATGTTATTTCAGTTGAAATTAATGAAAGGTTACCTTCAAATATGACAAGGAACGAAAGGAAAAATTCACAATTGATTCATTCATTATTAAAACAATCAGGTAACAAGTCTTCTGTTCAAATTTTTAAAATTATTAACGAGAATGTTCAACTTTTAAATGAAGAAATAACTAAATTAGTATCAGTATGTAATGATTTTATTTCATCTAAAACACTTCATAAAACAATTTGTTTAATTGCTCTTATTAATGCATTAAAACAAACTGATATTGCTCAAAACTTAGCTTTAGAATTAACTAAAACTAAATTTCTTGATCGTGCAAATAAAAATGAAGGTTCAGCAAGATATAAAATACATCTTTATATTCTTCAATTAATAATTCAATCATATTCCAATTCTCTTTGTATAGAACAAGAATTATTTGTTTTATATGATTTATTTAAATCGGATAGAACTATTGAAGAATTATTAAATAAATCAAAGAACCTTACTTCATTTTATTCAAGTCTTCAAACAATTAAATCTCAAGAATGTATTAACTCATTTTTAATGTTATTACCATTCCAATCTTTTTCTAATAAGAGTCTTATTGATACATATTTATCATATTATATTAAATTATTAAATGTAAGTATTGAAAGAGTTTTTTCATCAGAAAAAATAAATGAAGATCTTATCTTATCATTTTTATTATGTGGAATAATCTTAGCACCTGCTTATGTCTTAATTTATCAAAACCTTGTCATTCATCTTACTACATTAATCATTGGTCGTTTACAACAAAAACAAGTAGTTCAAGAAGACATATTCTTAGTTTTATCACTTCTTTCTCTTTCATCTTCTTCATATGTAAAACAATCATTTAAATCTCATAAAGACCTTGAATGTTTATACAATTTCTTCGATGGTTGTCATGATTTAAGGTCTGTTGAAATAGCAAAAAAATTAATTGAGAAATTTTCATCTTAGAATCTTTTTTAGTTTTCCTGATTTAGATATTTCGAATAGTAAATTTAGGATTAACTATTTTTAATTCATGTCAAAATTCATTTATAATTACCAATCATAACAATATATCTGAGTATTTTGTAACCATAAATTATCTTATTATTCTTCTGTTATATATATTTATAGAAATTATTATCTAAAAATACAATATTCTAAAGAGTTCTATTTTCACGTTAATGAGGACAAACTTTAGGTAAAAATAGAAAACAAAAAGTTAATCAAATATTTTAACCCTTAAATCTTTAAAAAGTTAAAAAATGAGTATATTCATCGAAGATACTATTCAATCACTTACCCTTTTCAGAAGAATTAAAACTATAATAAAAGAATTTGATTTTGATGAAGGGATAGATTTTGTTGTTAAAGGAAACCGACTATTTATCCAATCATTATTACAAGATTATTTTGAATTAAAAGACAAAGACTTTGCATTAAAAGAACAAATTTTAAAAACTTTTATTTCTATTTGTAAAACACACCACTCTACAAGTCCAAAACAATTTGAAACTCCTAAAAATTATGTTTTTTATTCAGAATGTGAAAAATATATTGAGAGATGGTGTGAAATTCTTTCTACTAAACCAAAAAGTGTAACAGAAAAGTATATTTATTTATTAGTTGTTCAATTTATTAATGAACTTGTAAAAAGTAAACAATTATCTCTTGTTAGTAAAATTATTTCATATGAATCATTAACAATAGTTTTTTCATTAATTCAAAATGAATTTAAAACTTCAACTATTTACATTAGAAATTGTTTTAGTATTTATAATGAATTGTCAAGTTATAAATTATATGAAGAATTAAACCGAATTATTAGTTCAACATTTACTTTAAGTTTTATACAAAATGTTCTTCTAAGACATTCAACAAAAGACCTTTATGTGTTTGTTTCTGAATTACTTTATGACTCTATTAAAAATCAATCAAATGGTATTATATTTTCACAAGATGTTAATGACTTTCTTCAATTGGTTCTTGATTCATTAGTTAAACAACATATTGAAATTAACTCATATTTAGAATTTGATGAATTTTCTAAATCCCTTAATTCTATTACCAAAACTAATGGTGCATTAGTAAGGGTTAGTTTTAATTGTTCTCCATCTGTCTCTGATACTTCCCTTATTCCTCCATCACGTTTGTAATTATTTATTAAGCTGTCTATTAACTGTATTAATTTTACTTTTTTTAAGTCTTATGTTTTACTTTTAGATAATTGTTATTTCTAAAGAAGAAATAAAACCAACAGAAAACTTTTTACAAATGAAAAGTTAATAATTAGTTAAGCAAAAATTAGTTATTAAATCCTCCTATATTATTTCTTTCATATGGCTATCACTCAATAAGTTATTTATAAAGATTAAGGTGTAGTGTAGTTGTATTTTATGCTATTATATTATTTTAATTGAAATAGTTGCGTTAAAGCAAAAGTAATTAATAATTATTATAATAATAATATGATTTTAGTATCATAATATTTTATTTTCTCTGTTCAGAAAGAAAAAAAGAAATAAAAAGAAGAAAAAAGAACTTAATAATCATACAAGATGTTGTGGCTTCTTTTACTATTCCAGTTAAGTCTTGGTGATTTAACATACTGTGAAGTACCTGAATTCACATTTAAACCAGTTGATGGATATAAACCAATATTACTTCAAATGGTATTTAGACATGGAGATCGTTCTCCATGGTTAACATATAAAGGTGATCAAGCCACATATAATTGTGATATTTCACAACAACTTAGATTTTTGTCTGCACAAGGAATGGAATCGTATGAATTTCATCATATTAAAACTGAAGTAGATAAAGAAAAAATGGTTTTTGCTAAAGATAATATGTATGGTGGAAGTTGTCAAATGGGACAACTAACTCGTAAAGGTCTTAACCAACTCGCCACATTAGGAGATAAAGTTAGAGCTAATTATGTTGGAGATAATAACTTTTTACCAACATACATGAATATTAGTGATATTTATGTTCGTTCTACTAAAGTTTGGAGAGTTATCCAAAGTGCTGAATCGTTCCTTCAACACTTATATCCATCATATAGTCGTGATCCAGATGCAAGAATTAGAATTAATACAGTTCCATCAGAAATTGAATACGCTGTATATAATGATCATGGGATGTGTCCTAGAGAAGCAGAATTAGAAAAAGAATTATTTGATAAATGGTTTGTCGAAGAATTAAATTTAAGACATAAAGAGCCATATGCATCTATTCTTGCTAAAGCAGAAAGATTTTTTGGTGTAGTTAATTATAACTGGTATGATTCATACTTTGATATTTTACAAGAGGTTCAATGTAATAAATTAGAATGGCCTTGTATTGACACAGAATCAGGAGAAAAAGAATGTTTTACAGAAGAAGAATTTAATAAATTAGTCGAATTAGTTTATCATGATGGAGTTTACCGATTCTTTGATAATGACACTATTCCATTAGCACGTCTTGATGCTGGATGGTTCTTAAGAGATATTCTTAGTTTCCAACAAATGAAATATGAAGGTAAAACTAACGTTAAATACACTCATTTCCATGCCCATGATACAACCATTTATCCATTAGTATCATTATTAGAAGGAGATTATTCATCATGGCCACCATATGCATCATATATTATATTTGAAATGTATGAAAAAGAATCAGAATATTATATTAGAGTAGGTTATAATAATAAACTCTTGGACCTTAATTTCTGTTCAAAAGATGAAAATGGAATGTGCAAATGGAAATCGTTCTTTGATCATATGAGTAAAAAGGTTCCAAAAAGTTCAGACTGTAATGCCAAAAATCAGTAATTACAATTTTATTTCTTAATAAAAATTAATCAATTCTCCATTTTATTTTAGAAAAATATTAAATAAATAATTCCTACTACTATTACTAGTAATAGTATCATACCACATAAACTATCAGGAATATCAGTTCTTTTAAAGACAAACACTTTGTCAATAGGATCAATAGGATCAATAGGATTATTATAATAAATTATTTTATAGATATCTGTACTTGAATTCCATTTTCCATTCTTTGTTTTTGAAACAAAAATGAATGTATCCTTAGAAGAAATATATTTGTCTAATTGGGATTTTTTGTGATAAGTAATCTCTTCATAAATTTCATTTGAAATATTATAGTGGTGTCTTGTATTCTTCTTTAATTGAGTGAAATATTTTGTCAATGGTTTTTGATGTTTTGAGTTAAATTTGTCCTTAGTTTCTAAACAGAATAAACAGATTCTTTCTGCTATTGTTTGATTCTCTAAGAAATCAATTAATTTTCTTTCATCAATACTTTTATAGACTTCTGAATTTTTTGTCACTAAAAAATTAACAGAACCATTAGATTTGAATTCTAAATCATAAATAAACATATCATTAATAACAGAATAATGTTTTGCTTTCATTTCACCATAATATATATTTTCATTTTCCATACATTTACTTTTTAAAAATAAACGTTTCATAACAAATTTTGTTCCAAATTTATAAAACACAACTAAATTTGTTTGATGAATATGCTTTTCTAAACATTCTTTAAAAAGATTGTTCTTAAACCCACTTATGTTAGTATCAAATAATGTTTTAATTACTACATAATTATCTTCTAAGTTAAATGAAGAGAATGTAAATCTTTGAAATGTTGGATTTGTCAATAATTTTTCAGGGTCTCTAAAATACCCATTTCTATCTGGATTACAAAGTTCTATTTCTATATTTGCTAATTTTGATTCAAAACTTTGAGTTATTTGTTGAATTTTGTTTTGAGTTTTGGATATTTGATTAACTTGATTGTTTAATTTAGTTATTGAATCTAAAATTTGTCGTTGTGCTAAGTCTAGTTTTTTTAAATCGTTTTTATATTTTTCTAATTCTAATAACGCTAATTTACTGTCTTGTTTTGTTCTATTTTCAAATTGTTTAATTCTTTCTAATAATTTTTGTTTAAATTCTTTCAATTCCTTTATTTCATTGAATATTTGTTTATTTTCTGGATTATTTTTAACTGTTCTTATATCATTATCAAAGTCTTTAAGTTCTTTCTTAAATTCATTAAACTGAGTTTCTAAATTGCTAATAGACTTCCTTTGTGTTTCATTATAAGTTATTAAAGAATTAATTTTTTGTTCCAAGTGTGTCTTTTTAGTTTCTTTTTCCTTTTCATATTCTTTTATCTTGGTGAGCCTAATTTTTTTAAGGTCATCTGGAGAGCAAGGTAAATTGAGATTCATTTAATAAAATCTATAAAATTGAGTTGTTAAAATATACTGCTACTGAGAATGATGCAAAAACTTTTTAATTTTTATAAATAACTTAATTTTTGTTATTTTAAAATAAAAACAAAAAAGAATTAAAATGTATTTTTGTTATTAATTAATCATTTAAAAATAAAAACCATATTAATAAAAGATAAAAAGAAAACATTGTACCAATATCAGTAATACCAATATTAGTGTTGCTTTTTATCTTTTCCTTTTGAAGAATTCATTAATGAACGTACAACTTCAATGAAATCATCTTCATTTGGGAAAGGGTCAAAAGTAAGAAATTCACAATCATTTCCAGTATCTTTCCAAGCAACATATACTTTACCTTCAAAATCTTTTTTAATTTCTATTAATGAGCTTATTTCTATATCAGTAATTCTCATCATATCAATAATCATTATACTTTTTAATGTTATCATCATTTGACAATCTTTTTTTAATATCGACTTAGCAAAACTTAATGGTTTTCCAATATCAGCTCCATTCTTTTTTACATTATAACTAAAATGTGTTGATGTTCTTCCTTTTCTAATAAAGAAAATAACATACATTTCATACATAACTTTTTCCATTAAAGCACGTGAACTAAATTGATATAGTCTACTTTCTAATTTTCCTTTATCTCTAAATCTAATGTCCATCATTAATGAAATAGTTGTAATTTCTATTTTCTCTATTTGTTCAAGATTAATTGTATTTTTCATAATTCCTGTTATTGGATCAATGTTACATAAAGACGCTAATGTTAATCGTAATATCCTTTCTTGACTTTTTCCTTTATTATTAATTTTTGTTACTTTAAACTCTCTTCTATCAAGTGCAATACTTTCTTCAGGTAACATAACATTATCTATTCCAAGTAATTCTTCTAATCCAACACAACTATCTACAATAATTAATTTCTTTAATGCTTTTGTTTCAAATAATGCTTTAACACTTGTTAAAAACTTCTTTGCTTTTTTTCCCATATGAAAGAGAATAACTTGTTTAACCATTTTACGTTGTTTATAATCAAAAACATTATTTCTTTGTTCAAAACAATACCAGAACTTTTCTTTAAGATTGTAATTTACTCCAGTAAGATCAAATAAAATAGAATATTTCCCATTTATTTCTTTTAGAAATAATTGTGCTATGTCTCCCCATTTATTAGTAAAATAACGATTAATTGTATCGTCTTTTTCTAATATTTGAAATAATGAATTAACAATAATATAAATAACTTGTGCTCCATCTTGTGCTCGTTCAATATAAACAGCTTTTCCAATCTTAAGATATTCAACTATTTTTTCACACATCCCTCCTAATTCATCTTCACTTACATCAACATTTAATCTATTCCCTAATTTCTTTTCTACAATAAGAGGAGATGGACCAAGTAAATCTGCGAATTCATTTAATAACCAAAATAATTCTAAGGGAGTTAATTTTTTTCGTTCTTCTTTTTCTTTTGGTCTTCCTTTATTATCTAATGCATTCATTCTTGGTGAAATTGTTCTTTTTGATGCACTTGTTCGTGTCCATAATTTATTTGGTGTTGGTGATTGTTTTATTGGACTAGTTGTTGGTGGATTACTAGGAGACGCAGATAAATTGATTGGTAAAACTACATCAGGTGAATTTGATTGTAATGACCCACTGGATTTATTTCGTTCTGGAATACAACCGAAATTAGACACCCCTGGAGACTCACTATGGCTAAGTCTAATTTCTTTAGTACTACTTGGTCTTGAAATAACATCTTCACTTGAGTCATAATAATGACAATCAATAGGAATGACAGGTGAAATAATGTTTTGTGGAGAACTAGATGATGGTGTTTTTCTTTCTTTTAAACGAGGAGATGATGGTGTTTGGGATTCTTCATGACGAGGTGAAGCAGAAAACCATCCACCACTTCTTTTACTTTGATTACTTTCTCTTGGAGATGAAACATGTGGAGATATGGTTTGTGGTTCTTCAACAGGTTTTTTATCAAATGAAACAAAAGTAGCACGAGCCCTTCCTTTAACAATAGAATTTTTAGGGATTGCTGGCATTGTTTTACTAATTTCTTTTCTTTCAATAGTTGGTTCTTTCTGAAGTTCTTTAGCCTTTAATAAAAGTGAATGTAATTCAAATAAATTATTCATGTCTGTATCTTCAAAAGATTTAAATGTATGTGATACAGGTGAATTAGAAGAAGTTTTAGTACATAACATTTCAATATCATTATTTAATTTTGCAGACATTTCAATAGTGAATGGAATAGTTTGTTTAAAATATGGTTCTTTTGTTGATGTTACATTATTCGCAATATTTTGAATTATTTTTGTTATTAATATCAAATTTCTTCGACAATTTGGTTGAATTGGATGTGTCATTTCAATACCTGAAGCTTCAGGGGCAGCTAATGAAGGACAAATAACACGAAGGAATAAAAATCCACCAACCATTGTAAATGGAAGTAATTTACTTTGTGGGAATTTATTTTGAGAGTGTCTATATAATTGTTTGCAAATTTCTATAATTTGTACTGGTAAGTTATGAAGGTTTGATTCAATTGAACGAATAAATTTAGTAGTATATGCTTGTAAAAGTTCTGTATTTTTTGCAATAAGTTGAGGTGTTAATGATGGATCTTTTTGTGTATCTATTTCAAGTAAATGAGGACATACATTTATTTCATTAATTACATTTTTTAAAGTTGTACGAAGGAAGGGTCTACAACTACTTTTAGCAAAGTGTGTCATCATTCTACTACAAAGATTGTTTGACCTAAACAATGTCCCTTCTGAACTGGATTTATCAAACTCTTCCTTTTTGTGTTAATGAATATTATAATAAATTAAATTGTAACAAACTTTTATCATTACTTCTATACATGGAATAATACGTCCATGAAGAATAAGTAGATCTACAATTATTTTAGTAAAACCATCTTGTAATTCTGGTGGTAAGGTAGTCCCAATGTAAATCGTAAATTCAAGGTCATTCATTAATCGATAAACTAAGGAAGCATAATGATCATAAATATCTTTGAAGTGATTATTTTCAAAGGTAATTGTTAAGTCATGCGACATTGATTTGGTATTGAATAACTATTTAATAGATAAGAAAAAACTATTTTCATTTAACTTTATGTGTTTTTTTCTTTTTTTTTACTCAAAAAAAATGTTCAACGAATTATTTATTTCTACTATTTTTTTTCCGTATAGATTAACACTCTTTTATTCAATAAGCACAAAATTCCAGTATTTATCGAAAATTAAAACGTTATATTCTTTTAATTCTATCTTAATTTTTCTTTACAGAAAAAATTCAATTTTAAAACTCAATTCTCACGTAGACAGATTTGTTTTCCTAAAAATACTTCTTTTTTTATCTTTTTCTATTTTCTCTCTTATTTTATGTTTTTTTTCTTTTTCTTTTTTTTTGTTTTGAATAAAGTAAAACTAAGAAAAAGAGATGGAAGTGAGAGAAGTAATTGAGAAAGAATTTCTTGACAATTATAAAGAAATGAAAAGAATGGTAGATCCATTAGTTTTCGGTAATTTAAAAAGTGAAACAGAAATGCTTGTAAAAGATGCACGAATCATATTACATAAAGAACGTGTAATTGAAGAAGGAAGAGAGGTGATTGAAGAAACAAAGAGAAATGAAGAGGCAGAAGAAATGTTGAAGAAAGAGATAGTGAGAGACAAAAGGAGAGAAATAATAGAGAAAGATGAAGAATTACAAAGAATGGAAAAAGAGATTGAAGAATTGAAAGCAGAAGGTCAGAGAGCAAAAAAGTTAAGAGACATGAAGAAGGAAGAATTAGAATGTGAAAAGTATGGGTATAAAACAGAAAGTAAGATATTAGAAGAATTAGAGTTTGTTAGAAATAAATAAAGAAAGAACAATGAATAAAAAAATAGGATGAAGAATGAATTAATGGGGAAAATGATTAAGATGAAAGGAGATTTAGATGAAGGGATTTTGATTTGCAATAAACGAATTATCACCTTCAACATGAAAGGGATGAAACGAGAGGAAAGGAAAATATATTTAAGTGAATTAATCATAAACGAATGGACAAATGAGAAATAAAAAGGGTATAATTGAATGAGTTGAATAAAAGAAATGATTTTTAAGAAGACACATAATTCATAGATAATCTACAAGAATAACATTAATGAAATATAAGCATTAAACATAAATAAAAGTTACCGAGAAAACAAGTTAAAAAGAAAGAGATGAAGAAAAGTCCGTACAAAATTATTATGCATTTGTAAACATAAAAAAAAGTGTATAACTTCCAGGAGTAGTTATAAAGAACAAATAAATCAATAATCAATAAATAAAATAAAAAAAAATATAAATTAAACTCATCAATTAGAATAGAAGAAGAGTGTAGTTAATAAAAAAAAGAAACATAAGAATAAAAGAAAATAACCAAGACACAAAGAATAATAAAATTAATCTAAAACAACACAACCATATTACGTTGGTGAAATACGAATAACTGAAGTAAAACAAAAAGAAAAGGAAATATCTATTTTGATTTATATTCTAATTAGATTTTCATTCTGTTTACAATTTAATAGGATTAATTTTTCAATATGTGTTATCCCCATTAAACATTGAAATAAATTCTGTTAGGATATAACTGAAAAATAAATTATTATATATTTCAAATATAGGATTAAATATTTATTGAGAACTTGTTACTTTATTTATTCTTCATATTTTAGAATTTAAATTTTTTCTTTTTATAATAATTTATTGTATTG